GCCCCTTCTCGAGCCCTAGCACTACAAATCCAAAATCTGCTAGATAAAATCACCGAATTACAAGCGGTCAAAACCTCATACATGTTACACAAGCTCAAAGCGACCCACTACCACCACAGCGGGAAAGCCACCAAACTCCTAGCTAACAGGCTGAGAGCAAAGCTGGCAGCCACCAAAATAGCGCATATTCAAGACCCAGAAGGTAACAAAATACAAAACCCAATGGATATCACTCAGGAGTTCGCCAACTATTACTCCAGCCTCTATAATTTGAGCGAAAGACCAGATACCCCCCCCATCCAGGACAGTAACATCACGGAGTTTCTAACCCGTCTACCCCTCCCCAAAATAAACCACCACCAAATAGAACAATTACTCCAACCTATTACTCTATCAGAAGTACTCCAAACAATAAGGAACCTCCCCCCAGGAAAAACCCCAGGAGCAGACGGCCTAACAAACCTGTATTATAAAACTTTTGCAGACATATTAGGCCCTAAACTTGTCCAAATATTCCAAGCAGCTTCTGACTCGGGAGAACTCCCTCCTGAGATGCTACTAGCAACTATAGTTACCCTGCCAAAACCTGGGAAACCCCCGGACCAATGTAAAAATTTTAGACCTATCTCCTTATTAAATACAGACGCTAAGATATACGCAAAAATCCTGGCCTCCAGACTGGGTAAAATCCTACCCTCAATCATAGACGATGACCAAACAGGGTTCGTGATGGGGAGACAGGGGTTAGACAATACACGAAAACTGTCCCTAATTATGGAAAAATTGAGAAGATCAGGCCAAGGTGGGCTACTGTTAGCTCTGGACGCTGAAAAAGCGTTTGACCGCCTAGGTTGGTCCTTCTTGAAACAAGTCTTATCGATATTTGGATTCCCACAACAGTTCATCCAACAAGTATTCGCCCTATATTCACACCCAAGGGCTCAGGTACTACAAGCAGGCTTCAAATCAGACCCCTTTCGCATTACAAACGGCACCCGACAGGGATGCCCTCTGTCCCCCCGTTGTACGTACTGGCCCTGGAGCCCTTACTAATAGCCATTAGATCCCATCCAGACATTGAAGGCGTAAATTGGCACGGCCGCCAAATCAAGATTAGTGCATTTGCGGATGATATCCTTCTATATGTTTCCCATCCTGTTACCTCCCTACCACACATAATGCACCTTATCGAGGAATATGGTGGTCTCTCATACTACTCCTTAAACACTTCCAAAACACAAGTAATTGGGGTTACGCCTAGATCCCCCAGCCCTCACACAACTACGTACAACCTACCAATTCGAATGGCGCACGAACGATATTAAATACCTAGGCCTGACGTTCACCAAAAAAGCTTCCGACATGTTCCCAACTAACTACACCAGAGTATGGAATGAGTGCCTGACCTTGATAAGGGGCTGGGAAAAATTGTTCCTTACTTGGACGGAACGTATTGTGGCTATTAAAATGTCGGTACTACCGAAACTACAATATGTGTTTCGGAACCTCCCGTTAAAGGTACCACAATCTTACTTTAAAACCATACAATCGAAGCTACTGCAGTTTACCTGGGGAGCAAAACGGGCGAGAATTTCTTGCAAACTACTATCCGCACCAGTGAAACACGGGGGCATGGCGTTTCCAAATGTAAAAGCCTACTATCAGGCGGCAGCCTTAACCCCTCTATTAACACATTTGGTGAGGAACAACCAACCACAATGGGTACACCTAGAGAACCTAGCTGTTAAGCCCTTTGCAATCCACATCCTGACATGGTTGCACAAATCAAACAGACCAACTACACCGTTACTACCATTACAAGTACAACTAGCGTTACAGATTTGGGACACGCATAGGAGGAAGTTTGAGACAGCCAACCCCCTCTCCATGGCAACTCCCATAGAAGCCATAACATACTGCATCCCAACATTTCACGCAATGCCGTGGAAGGACAAGGGAATCTCACACCTAGCTCAGGTCTTTGAATCAGGCAAGCTGATGGGTTTTGACCGTCTTAACACGATCTTTAACCTGCCACACACATCAAGCTATTCATACATCCAACTTAAATCCTTTCTACATACACGTAATAAAGATAGTAGAAATGAGACTACAATTGCCAGTGCGCTATCGACCTGGGAACAAACAGGCATCACAGGCAAACTACCCCAGACCTTCAAACCCTTATCTGGCTGCTATAGACTTATTCTGCCATACCAATCCCTTTCTGACTCCACTCCAGCACACCAATGGGAAATGGACCTCCAAACTCCCATCACTGAGAAACAGTGGTCTTCTATCACATCTTCCACTAGAAAATTGATCAAATCTGCTCCCCTTATAGAACAACACCAGAAAACAATATATCGGTGGTATATGGTGCCGCTACGTATACACAAACTGTATCCCACTGCGTCTCCGACGTGTTGGAGATGCAAACAAGAGAAAGGCTCGGTCCTCCACATTTGGTGGAAATGTCCACGCCTAATCAGGTATTGGGAAGACACAGGAAAAATCATTGCAGATACTACCACAATCCACCTACCCTTTGACCCTAAGACCTTTTTACTGTTAGATATACCCAGAGAAACACCCACACAAGCGAGAAAATTAATGTACCACGTCCTGCTAACCGCACAAAAACTGATCGCACGACTCTGGAAAACAACAGACACCCCTAGCATTCCTGCCCTTATCCGAGACATAGACAAGCAAGCTATTTACGAAACAAGCTTTTCCAAAGCGCAGAATAGCACCAAATGTAGTGGTAGCACATGGGAACAGTGGCGAGCTTGGAGAAACGCTAACGCACAACACGTACCCACCAATCACAACTTAAAATAACAACTCAACTAACCACAAAAGCTAAACGCAGGTAGACTGGGGGTGGCAATCGCTTCAAGAAGGTGGGGAACACTATTACGTCTGAGAGTAGTATAAAGCAGACTGGGACCTAAGAATGGGTAGTAAGCCTAGATAGTCGGATCATTTGTACTGTGATGCATAAAGAGATCAACCGATTACTGTGCGCTGTTGAGCCGCCTCAAATGCCTGCAAATGTCAACTGTCAGCTGTCAATTGTCAATTTTTATATATTCCTAACCGACATAGGATTCGATGTAAAGTGACTCGGGTCACCGATTATTCGACCCACGGAATATCCGACACCCGCGTTCGGGGGACTGGACACCCCCCGAACACCTTGCGAAATTCATGCACAAGTGGCTACGCAAACCAATGGATAAGACGGTACGCAACCGCTTACGTTCTGAATGTCCTCGCCCTTCACTACCAGATCAGGTGGCTCAGACCCCGGAATTCGACCAGGTCATGACCACCTTTATGTCACGGGGTGGTCGCGACCACCGAAAATGGGTGGAGAAGGGTTTCCATGGCGTGCAAGACAAGCTGCTGGATTCGGTCGGACCCCTCTCCTGCATCATGTACTTAGAGGATGACGCCCTCATACGAGCCGAACAGTTCGATACCAACATGGTACGTGAATGGGCTCACGATGTAAGAGAATGGGCGCAACGCTGTTTTTGTTTTGTTGGCAACGCCAACGAGGCCCTCTCCTCTGAGAGGAGGAAAGCAGCATTACTCCGCTTAGACGGAAAGCTGGTGGATTTGGGCACCAGAGAATTAGGACCACTGGCACAGAGCAAGCTGTTCGGGGACGCCTTCTTGAAGGACCTGAACAGACACGTGAACGTGTTCACATCCCTTAACAAGGCCCAGACCTCCATGAAACGGGTCTTCAGGAATAACCCCAACCGGGGTGTTTTGGGGCGGGCTAGCCGCTACAGGGGCCATGCAGCCAGCAGCTTTTGGCCTTCAGGCCCCCGCTCACAAAGACCTCAACCTTTTTACCCAGAAGTGGGCTACAGACAGCCCTTCTCCTACACCAGGGGAGCCGACAGAGGTCGTGGATCACGGGGCCGTGGCAGAGCACGCTTCACCCCCACAGGTAAGCCTGTATGTGACTCACGTACCCCTTACTTCACAAACGGCAGGTCGTATTGCTCTCCATTTTCAGAATTGGACAACCATTTCGACGGATGCATGGATCCTGCAGATGGTACAGGGCTACGTCATAGACTTCGTGGGCCACCCGAACCAAGTGGTGCCTCCTTTCCCCCGGACCTGTTCCGCCGAGGACCACCGACTCATAGAGATCAAGTTGGAGGAACTCCGATCGAAAGGGGCGATAGAACCCGCTCACGATCGGGGGGCTTTTTCAGCAATATCTTCCTGGTAAAGAAGAAGACCGGGGAATTCCGCCTGGTCATAAACCTGAAGGGTCTCAACGCATTCGTCGTATAACGGCACTTCAAGATGGAAGACATACATCTTCTGAGGGACCTCCTTCAAGACGGGGACTGGTTCACAAGACTGGATCTCAAAGACGCGTACCTCTCGGTGCCCGTCCACATCGGCTGCCGCCGATTCCTCAGATTTCAGTGGCAAGACCGGCCTTGGCAATTCACGTGCCTTCCCTTCGGACTCAGTTCGGCCCTGTAGTGCTTCACAAAATTATTGAAGCCAGTAGTCGCACATCTTCGAGCACGAGGGATTCGTTGCATTATTTACCTGGACGACCTGCTTCTGTTCTGCTCAGACAAGTCCAGACTGACTTAACACACACAATTTACCGTAGACTTCCTGACATCACTGGGCTTCATGGTCAACTTCCTGAAGTCGGAAATATCTCCAGCTCAGACGGTGCAGTTTTTGGGTTTCGAGATAGACTCCAAGTCCAGCACGCTACGACTGCCGACGACAAAGATCATCAAAAAAGAATTACGCAGAGTCATTCGCTGTCAATCCATTCCGCTCCGCAATCTGGCCTGGATTGTGGGACTGCTATCCGCGTCCATCCAGGCCATATTCCCGGGACACCTTCACTATAGAGCGATGCAGCGCCTGAAGACCTCCTTCCTACACCGGAACCCGTCTTACGACCAAACTATCCCGATTACGGAGGAGGTCAAGGAGGAATTCAGATGGTGGCTAGACAGCATGGAGGCATGGAACGGCCGAGCCATCTTCGGGAGTTCACCCGACATAGTTCTGGAATCGGACGCCAGTCTTTGGGGCTGTGGTGCGATGGGCGGAGGCAAATTGACAGGAGGCGCCTGGACTTCTCAGGAAATCGACCTACACATAAATTGCCTAGAACTCCTAGCGGGTTCATTCGCGATTCTCAGCCTAGCAAAGGACAGATCGAACTGTTGCATCCTTCTCCGGATGGACAACGTCTCCGCGGTTCGATACATCAACCGCCTGGGCGGAGCTCGGTCCAGACTGTTATCCGAAATAACGAAGGAGATTTTCAACTTCTGCTTACCCCGCAATATCTCCCTCAAGGCGGAATACCTTCCGGGGGAGACAAATCTGACAGCAGACTGGTTTTCACGTCACTGGCGGGACAGCAGCGACTGGAGACTGGAACCTCAGGTCTTCCGACGCCTCTCGAACAGGAGAGGTCCCTTCCAACTGGATCTGTTTGCATCCCGCAACAACAGACAGACACTCAACTATTTCAGTTGGCTTCCGGACCCGGAGAGCGTGGCAGTGGACGCATTTCTCCAATCATGGCCAACCGAGGGAGCATACGCCTTTCCCCCGTTCGCCATGATAGCAAGGACAATTCAATACCTGAAGAGTCAACACGGATCTCTATTCCTCGTCGCCCCCCTATGGCGGGGCCAACCATAGTTTCCGGACCTACTGGCACTGTCCTACGCCGATCCACTTCTCATACCATCCTATCCGATGCTCCTCACGGATCCAAAGGGGATCCCCCATCCACTCATCCTCGAAGACCACCTCACCCTGGTGGCTTGGACTCTTTCAGGGGAGCCTGGTAAACCAATGACTTATCGCAAACGGCTAGAGACCTTATATGGGATTCCTGGGCACCCGGGACCAGACGATGCTATCTATCAGCTTGGAATTCCTGGTCCTCTTGG